CCCCATTGATAAAATTAACATCATTCAGGAAATGGGCTAATCTAGGCTGAGAGGCAAGCACAGACATATGGCGATACTCGATTTAAAAAAGAATAAAACCCAAAGCCTGAAATCGAGCTCACGTCTTCTGTGTGTGACATCGAAGGGCCTTCCCACCACGTCAAAGTCGCCAGTTGTCTCTATTTGTCTTTGTTTACACTTTCCTTTTGTCTCCCCAGCTTTACTCCCCCCCACCCCCCAACCACCACCACCACACCGTCCAAACCGGCAACTAGTCCCCATTCTATTATGTAAGTTCATCTCTAACGAGCAAGTTGTTGATTATTAGGAGGATCATATTATTTACATTATACCGATAGTACATTGAAAATATGAAGTACATCGCTTCTTCCTATACATAAAGAAAGGAGATGTGCAAAGGTATTGATTCTCCTAATGTACATGAGACTGATACTGGTGCACACAGTTCCCTTTGAGCACCTGCAGGTTTACTGGGTACTATCACTTACACATATTCTAAAGATGTGCACAGTTGGGGGTGCCTTAGCCCCCACCCATCCCCACCCAAAGCTGCTAGAAACATCACAGAGGAAGAATTTGTATGCTACGAGTAATAATGGCTTTGCGTAAAGGAAGTGACACCAAATAAATCATACTTCTTGATCGGAAAACGGCAAATTCATATCTGAAGGAGGAAAAAAAACACAATGGTCGCAGAAAGCGCTGTGTATTTTTGTTGCATCACAACTTGGATAATATCCCCTTCAAAGCTCGGCCATGAATAGCACACCACTTTCTATCTCAAAGGGCTGAAAGTGGTAGTCTAAAAAGGAGCTAACGCCGAAAGGAGAACGTTCCACTCAGGATTTCAATATGCTTCCATTAAATTAAGCGTGGTGAAATGAGTTCTACGCACGTCACCTTGCATACACACACACACACACACACACACACACACACACACACACACACACACACACACACACACAATCACCCCATTCATTGTATGTCGGTTATATTCACGCGGTACGGTCTCATAATTTCTCACCAGCAGAAACTTGCATCAAGCTTTTTATTTTCCGCGGGGTTTTTTTGTTTGTTATGTTTTGTTTTGTTTTTTGTTTGGCATCTTGATCTGTTTTTGGCCGAGATGTGTTTATTTTTGTGCTGTTTATTTGCTTTTCACAAATCCCGGCGAGAGAGAGAGAG